GGGACCCCAGAAGTATGTGGGAGGCATGGGACTCATGAGGGAGAAGCCCTGTGGCACCTGCCTCCAGGTCCAGGAACTCTATTCGTTCAGCCAGAATTGAACTCAGTCTTAGAGCTCTAATTTGAAGCCTATTTAAATTAGCTTGGTTATCTGGGTTTCCCCTCTAGAGAAGATAGAAATTATTGGAAGAAGATAGAGTCTTTACTCAAGGCAGGCATGCTGGCGCCAGCAAGATGTAATCACAACCTGCCGTCTTGGCAAGAAACAGAAACCTGAACAAGTGGACTCAAAGGAAAGCAAAGTGTGAGTGTTAGATCCATACATGGGCGAGCCACCACATAGGTATCTATCTTAGGAGGCCTTGAGGATAACCCTGTATCAGCACATTGCAATGGTGACAAACATGGGCCATCAGGTAAAAGTTAAATCGTTCCATTTAAGAGAAAAGTTTGGTATTTTTCAGAGAGACTTCATTCAAAATTGGTTATATAGAGTTGGTCCTTGACGGGATCAAGTATCTGTTTCCTGGGAATCACACACTGATTCATACCACTCTTCCCGATCATTGCCCAAACCAAACTTGGCTTATGACAAAAATTGTTTTGTTCAAATTGGTCACCTACTCTGTTTGCCAAACCTGATTCCATATATGTCTCCTGGTTATTTCCTATAATTAAATTCCCCCTTAAAAAATAAAGAATGCCTCATATTCTGATTACTTTTGGTCCTCCTTTTAAGGAATAAGTACAGACTTTTGATATTTATTTGGTATAGTTTTTTTTCTGAACTTCTATAGGCACTAAAAGCTATTATAGCAAAATATTAACATAAACATCAAATTTTATAGCCATTATATACCACTCGGTATCCTTCTCTTCTGTCTAAAAAGTAATGCTATATTTCCTGTTTTCCAGTCTCTGCTTTTCTCTGTTGTTGTTTTTCCAAGATCACTAACGGTGATGAGTGAAGAGTTTTCATTATCGTATGATTTGGTTTTGCTCAAATTTTCTTTCTGTAATCTAGATTTCTAATTGGAAGGTGCAGCTGTTAAATAAGGCTATCAAAGATGTCATCTGAAATTTTTTACTTGCCTTTTTAGTTCTCTGGTAGGGTGAAATCTTGATTAACAGATGCCGTGGCAGTCCCCTTTGTTGCGAAGAGAGCCAGATTCAAAAGAACATGTCTTCGTGACTCAAGCATTAGAGCTTTGTCTACACACCATCCACAGCCCTCACCCTACTTGGAGTTTAAACTCAAGTGCAGGCAATACTTGGAAGCCAATGACTGTCTTCTTCCACCTAGCCTTGGCTTCCTCTCTCCCCTTTCTCTATAAAGGAAATATCATCACTCTTTTGACTCCCCACTTCCTTTCCAAACAGGACATAGTGGTCATTTTTATTTATTGTCTGAAATGTTATCACCACCATGCTTTTTCACTTAAAGCCTGTCTTGTTGCGAGATATACATCTTTTCCTACTCAGCCTAAGAAATTTTCGGCATGATTGAATGAGGGGTGAGGCAGGAGGGAAAGAGCATGGACCATGTACAAGGAGTTACTCAATAGGCCAAACTTGGCCGAGCAGCTGATGGGCCCGCCACACTCGCCCAGATGGAGAGCGAGCAGGAACCGCTCATATGGACTGCTGCCTCAGCCCTCTTCTTCCCGGCTTCTCCCTCCTTATGCTCCTTATTTCTGCCAACTCTGGCAGTGTATCTCACCTCCGGGGACACATTCTTTTTTCCTGCCTAAAGTGTGGAAAAAATTTCTTGTTGTCAGAGTTTTGTTGAAATAAAATTGGCATTTGGAAGACGCCACATTTGCTGGGAAGCTTAGGAGGGGCACTACTCACAAAGCGCTGAAGTGAGCAAGTTCTCAGGGTGTGGGCTGGGACCCGGTGTGCCCTGGGAAGAGAGGGGGTGAGGAAGCACGGTTTTCGGCGGCTCAGTGTGGCTGCCCAGTCCAGGCTTCAGGGGAGTCCCTCCGTGCCAGAGTGAGTAGTGTGGCCCAGAGGCCGTCTTCCTCCCGTTCTCTGGTGCTGCTTAGAAGCACACCCCTTTCCCTACCCCACCCCCCACTGGGGACTGCCCCAGAGTAAAATAGGTCCAGAAAACTGCATTTTAACATATGCTCCATGCTTGTGCTTCTAAATCCAAAGAACAACTACTTGAGGTCCTGGTGCTTAGTTTCTCAGCTCCCCACCTCATTTATTTGTGCCTGGTCTTGAGGTGCCTAGGATGCAGTGACTGACTCACCCCAGCCATGCTCATCAGAAACCGGAGCATAGACAGCCAGCCCCAACCCCGGCCTCTGGGGTTGTGGAGATCCTATGGCAGCACAGGGGAGCGGGGTGTATGTTCTCGAAGCTCACTGTGGTATCCTTGTCTCACTTGGCCTTCACACATGTTCTTCTGTATGTATTCTTCTTTCATCCTCCACCCCATTTCCCCTTCCAAGAAATGTATGAGCAGTTAAGATTTCTCTTTGAAGCAAGGCTCCACTGTCAACCTGCTCCAGAAAGATTTCCACAACCCCTACCCTCTTGGGACATGGCTGGACCTCTACAAACCTAGGTGGTGGTGCTTTAGGCACATTTGTACTTGCTTATGTGTGTAGCTCTCCTATTAGACATTGAACTTAATTGTCCTTATAAAATTGAGCTGAGCCCAGTGCCTGGCCTGGAGTTACTGCCCCATAAATGATTGTCAAATGAAGGGATGAGCTAGATCTTGTGAGGTTTCCTTGACGCATGTTCTCTTTAGTTTTTGTTATCTCTGCTACAAGGAATGGCTGAATTTGTGTTTGTGTAAAATTAAATATGTTTGAATTAGATTTGTCTTCCTGTGATCCTTAGAAAAATGTGTTTTAAAAATAAAATAAATATGATAGTGAGAAAATTAAGATGCTTTGGTGATCTAAATATACTTGTGAAGTACACTTTTTTTTTTTTTTAATGTTACAAAATACTTTAAAGAGTTCCAAGTAAAGTTAAGAGGGGATCTACTGGATTTGGCTAAGTGCTAAACAAAAAAAACAAAAAAAAAAAGTTTTTTAATTCCCTGTCCAAATATTTCAACTTAAATTTACTGGTAGCTCTTTCAGAGGCAAGATGGGAACTCTGCAATCCTTTGTTTGTTATAAAGGAAATGCTTTTGTCTTCAAATATTTGGAGGAAGGATTAAAGGCAATTTATGACTTGGGTAGAAAGTAATAAAAGTAGTAACAATGGAGTGTCTTCTGAATTGTCATCATTTTCTGGAATTAATAACAATATCAACTCAGCAGGCATTTTACGTCCAAAAGGAATTACTTTCATGTGTCACGCTTTAACGTAAACTCTAATACCAGTCCTGTAGCTGCTGTGTGGGATCATTTCCTTCATTCCACTGTTTAAAACCAGTGTTCGTTCAGTTGTACAGCAGAGGAATCCTGCCATCAGGTCTTTTACCACAGCGCTCAAGAAACATATTTATAATTCATTTCTTTCAGGAAATAAACTTCAAGATCTGCATAAAAAGTCTTTTATTAAGATAAGTCACAGCTTTTTTAGTTTCTCCAGGAATACTCCATTTTTAATTCCCAAGGGAAATCATAATAATAAATAAATTAACCTAATAGGTTATTTTCCTTTTTTATGGGACCCCTTTTTATTAGTATAATCCTACTTTACAGATTTCTTACCAGTTGTTTAATTAACGCAATCGCATATACTTTTTTTTTTTTAAGATTTTTTATTTATTTATTTGACAGAGAGAGACACAGCAAGAGAGAGAACACAAGCAGGGGGAGTGGGAGAGGGAGAACAGGCTTCCCATGGAGCAGGGAGCCCGATGTGGGGCTCGATCCCAGGACCCTGGGACCATGACCTGAGCCGAAGGCAGACACTTAACGATTGAGCCACCCAGGCCCCCAATCGCATATACTTTTTATAGCATTTTACAATTTATAAAGAACTTTATTTTTTAATTTTTTTTTATTTTAAAGATTTTATTTATTTATTTGACAGAAAAAGAGAGAGCACAAGCAGGGGGAGCAGCAGGCAGAGGGAGAAGGAGAAGCAGGCTCCCCAGGGAGCAGGAAACCCGATGCGGGGCTCAATCTCAGGACCCTGGGATCATGACCTGAGCCGAAGGCAGTTGTTCAACCAACTGAGCCACCCAGGCTCCCCATAAAGAACTTTTTAAATAAAATTTTTTTGATCTTTGCAACAATTCTGTCTAGTAATAATAATAATGCTATTATATATTATTAAGCCCTTTTACTATTTGACAGAATACAATAGTCAGTGGTATCAGGACATTACCCAGTATCAACTAGCAGATCCAGAATTCAGTGAAGATCTTACCTCCAAATAACATCCTCTCTTAACTGTACCTCTGGTAAATTCAATGCTGTTTTCCTTGGGGTGTGTTTTTAAAAAGAACTCCCAGAAGTGTCAAAACATTATTATTGCACACGTTCTAGTTTCTGTTTTCCAATAAATGGTTAGTTCTGTTGCTTAATGAAGCTCAGTTTTTTAAACCCTGCCCAAGTATTCACTTTTTTGGTGAGTGTGATGTGGAAAGTAAATCTGAGATGATTTTAAAATAAGCATATGAGTTTTTGTATGATACTGTTTATTTAAGTATTTTAATGCTTCAGATTTATGTAATGGAACCACTCTCAGTACCCTCACCTGAAAATGAGGGATATTTCCTTAATTTCTTCTACATAAGACTCCCTTAACATAGGATGAAATGTAGATATAACATTTTTAATGTGTTTGTAGATCATTCCATTCGACATCCTTTGATTCCAAGATGAGAACCCCTGGATGAATTAGCCTCTAGCTCTAACATTCAGTGTTTGAATCAAATGTCAGATAATGTTCCTGTGTATGTGGTATTATTTTCTCCAATAACTCAAATCCTCAGTGAGTTGATATTTGCTCACCTATCATAAGGTGGATTGCAGTGATCCGTATAGGTCTTTGCTGAAATACATGTGTCTTCTCTCCACCCAGAGTAAAAGAAGCCGAAGAGGTGTGCAGGCAGAAAAAGGGGAAATCACTTTATAAAATAAAACCAAGACATGACTCTGGAATTGTAAGTATTTAACTCTTCTCTTTTTAACTTGTGATTTGCTTTGGCTTTTAAACACTGTTTTCACAATATATACAAACTCACATAATAACATTTTAATTATTTTCCTCTTCAGTGTGAGAGAGATTCTCTCTCTCCTTTTCTTTATGCCTTTAATCAGGCCCAAAAGGCTAAGAGAATCTCAGGATCTAGCATCCAACGCTTAAGAATTAAGAAAAATCTAAGGGAATGCATATACCTAGATATGTGTGTGTTGGCAGGAGTTGGGGGGCAGTTTCTCACTTTCTCCATTACACAAGCATCACCAGCACAAGGCTGCATTTGAACCCCGAGTGGCTGTTATCATTGGATTAGCACCATTGGGATCTAAAACATGATGGGAAATGCCAAGTGTAGTATTGTCCTTTGCTCAGACTGGGGGGCTCAGACCTGGCGTGTACCCGTATGTGGCTGTTTAACAGTTGTCAGCCAGCAGGCTGAGTTTAACAAGCTAATCTAAGCTTCCTCCTTGCCCACTTCTTTCTTTAAAATGATATCGTGCATCCTGGAAGGCAGGGCTTGGTAAAAATGACGAGTTTTCCCTTGTGACGCTGTCAGTATTGTTTTAAATGTTTTGAGGGTGTATCACTTGGTACCACAGGGATAAGTAAATGATGCTGTTCTAAATGAAAAGTTGGGTTAGGCTTAAAATAGGAACATTTTGAATTGGATTAATCTAATGTAGTCTAAGTGGAAAAGATCAAAATAACCCAGGTTGGGATATGATTAAACTGATTAAACCCTATTTAGAAAAAGGAAATATATCTTCATTTAAAAGATATTTTCCCTTTAGTTTCTCTATATCAAAATTAGTCTTCTCTAATGACAGGTATTATATTATGGTTTAGTTTATTTTCTTTTTGATTAAAGTACAACCTTAAAGGTGCATTGAATGAAGAGGAATAATTATTAATTAACCTCAATCATGCCATTATAAGCATAGAAGAGAATTAAATCATATTAACCATGAAACGAAGCAGCCAATTCAATCTTCATATTTATGTATGTGTGCATAGAATTGAGAATGAGAAAGGTGAGTTGGCACTTTTTCATGTTGGTTAGATGCTAAAATTTTAAAGCTTTTTTTTTTTCTCAAAAATATTTGGTGATTTGGCTGGTGAAAATTCTTTTTTTTTTTTTAAAGATTTTATTTATTTATTTGAGAGAGGGAGAGATAGCGAGAGAGAGAGCATGAGCAGAGGGGAGAGGGAGAAGCAGGCCCCACTGAGCAGGAGCCCAAAGAGGAGCTCGATTCCAGGACCCTGGAATCATGACCTGAGCTGAAGGCAGCTACTTAACCCCCTGAGCCACCCAGGCACCCCTTGGCTGTTGAAAATTCTTAAAGATAAAACAGTTTACTTATATCTTTTTCCTTTATGGGCTGGTGGATCTTTAACCTTTTCCCAGAGAATTTGATCCAAATGAAAAGATCTTGTTTGAGCTATTCTAAACTCCGTACATTTTTTAAAGTTCTTCTTTCTAACTATAACTCTTATCTGGTGCATTTATTTTCAGAAAGCAAAAATAAGCATGAAAACCTGAAAAATGAAAAGCAGAATGAACATGAGTCACTGTAACCACTTCCACAAAATTCAGCTGACCTGAGGGTGGGAAGAAAACTACATCATTTTGTTCATTTTTCCTCTTGACCTCTTGCACAATCTTTGTGTTTTCTAGACAGTTCACTGATTGTTGAATTTTACTGTACATTCATAAAAATGCAAAAGCAGTAGACCAGTGGAGAATTTGACACCTTTTCTTTTTGTAAAGTTTATGGTATTATATTGATAGACCAAAACAGCATGTATAAGAGGCAATATTTGCATTAATGCTGAACATGCTAAATGTTAACCTAAAATTTACTTTCGTGAGAATATTCCTTATCCCAGCTAAACACTTTCCTTTCTACTGACAACCAGTACTCCATGTCACTGCATTTAGATTTATGGTTAAAACGTTATTTCTAGTGAATTGTTTGTATCAGTTACATGTCTACATATAAATTTTCTATTTTAAAATTTAAGTACCATTTATATATCATGATCAAGGCTTTCCCAATTCTTGGGTTGCTCTCCCTAACTATATATTTGTGAAAGAAGATTATCATTTTTTACGCAAGTCAGATAATGAATAGAAGAAATATAGCAAAAGGTAAACCCTTTCCTATAAATCATCTAATATAGGCAGGAATCAGAGTTTTAAGTTTAATGAGGGCTTTTATCAGCCTGTGTTCTCTGAGACCCTACATAAAGCTAATCTTCAGCTAAAATAAACTAAAGGTGTGCCTCTCTATAACTTTACCATTGGCCTTCACAAAGAAAACATGACTCAATATTTTGAAGGAATTTAAATAAATGATGCTCATAAAATTGCCAAACGTGACTAATTGTTGGCCAAAAAAGGGGGGTGGGTAGTAAGTTTTTGGATGGATTGGCATCTGTTAATTAAATGTACCAGCCTGGGTATTTTTACATGATTGGGATTGTCTTTATGTGTTATAGCAGGTGATTAAAAGCTGTCAGATGAATATGTGATGATTGGTTATCTGAAGGAGCTTAGGAAAGGATTTTCTTTTATTTCACTTTGAGGGGTAAAAAAAGTAAATCTCCCACTCTTTGTGAGAGTATGTTAAAGTCATCTCCTGATGCATTGTGATGGTTTTGTCTAACACTAATAGGTAGGGTTTTTAAAAATTCTTTTGATGATATTTGTTGAGGGTTATGGTTGTTGATATTTCTTGCTATTGGAAACCAATCATGGAAAGCAACTTAAAAAAGAAAATGTTCCGAATCATAACTATATTTGCGTTTATGTAAAGTATGGTCTCTTACCTTTTAGTTTGTAATTTAAGTGCAAAGAAACAGTAGTGGATTTTGGTTGTTGTTTTGTAGTCTTCCTGTCTCCTTCAGTCCCTCCAGTGTGTATATTACCATTCTTCACTGAAATAATAGGGCATTTAACAAAGATCGCTATGTGCAATACTGTATTTAGTGTTTCTATTTCAATTTTTCTAGGATGTTAATTTATATGAAAATAAAATGAATAATAAAAGAGTTCTGTACCTATTGTGTGTATATTGCCTAAGGAAACTTGCAAAATGCAGTCATCATATTTAACACAGGGGGAAAATAAGTTAGACTCTGTGTTTGAAGATTTTTAAAAAGTTCTTATTTCAAGTTTAACAATTGTTAGTAGTTGAGTATTTGAAAAAAAAATTGAAATGCTTCTTATGCAATCTTAAGGAAGAGGTAATTCCACTTATGAACAGAAATATATCAATATTTGAGAAATCCTTTTTCCAAAAGTTAAAAGTTAGACGCAAAAATTCATTGGATACAGATTAAGTGGTGAAGGGCTATTGGAAGATGATAAGGCCAAAGGGAAAATAATGGTGCAGATGGGATGTATATAGAAGAGGAAATAAGGAATGAAAACTAAGCACTCCACTACTGGAGAAGCATGACAAGAGTTTTCTTACTCCATAAGTAAGCTTTGCGTTTGGGTCTGATCATTTTTCAATATAAACTCTTTTATCCCCTGTACATTGACTTATTATCTACTTTGTGTCAAGGCATGGTGCTAATAACTGCATGTTTCAAAGATCTTCATCAAGTTGTGGGGGGGAGGAATATAAAGCAACAATTATGGATCATTGTAATGTCCAATTCAGAGAGCACAAAAAGCTGGGGAGCCTGGCTGGCTCAGTTGGTAGAGCATGTGACCCCTGATCTCAGGGTCGTGAGTTCAAGCCCCATGTTGGTAGTGGAGTGTACCTGAAAAAATTTACAAACAGAGAGCACAGAAAGCTAAATCTAGAGGGATGAGTGGGTATTAGGCAAGTGAAGGGAGAGAAGAGAAATCTGCAGTTGGAAAGACAGTGATCAAAGACACATCCAAAACATCATTTCTTTTAGGAGTTTTACCTAGTTCACATTAGATAGAGGGAAGGAGCAGAGCATAAAGTTCAAGAGAGAATGGTGAAAGATGTTGCTAGAGACATAGAAAAGAATTTTATAGTAGAAACAATGTAATTTTATGACAGTTTGGGGTCAAGAGGATCTTAGAATCATCTAGGCCCTTCCTACTCACAGTAGGCAGTACCTCAGCAGCACAGAGAGCACCTGAGAGCTTGCTCGACAGGCAGTCTTACAAGTTTTCCAAATGGTTGGTGAGGAGCGGATGATAATGCACTTCTGAGAGAGGTAACAAACTGAGGGGAAAAAGGCATGGAAAACAGATGCAAAATAGTCTACCACACCTGTGGAAGAATTAGTTCTACATCAAGAAGAAGAGATAGGGTGTGAGGCAGGGTAAGTGATAAGGGGCTAGGGGTGAGATCAGGGGCTAGATCACAGAATTCTTTAATAAGAGGAAACAGTATGTAGTACACTGTAGAGCCAGTAAGTTATTTTAAGGTAGCAATGTGAACTGGTTTGGGTTTAATAAAACCCATTCTGGTACCAGTGTTGAAAAGTATAAGCCTGAAGGCCAGAACACCTTTAAAGAAACTATTGCAACAATGAATCATGGAACACTACCTCAAAAACTAATGAGGTACTGTATGGTGACTAACATAACATAATAAAAAAAATAAAAAGAAACTATTGCAATTCAAAGAAGAAATAGGACTTGATCACAGTAGTAGAGTTGGAAACTTGGCGCTGAAGAAAAGGGTATTTTAAGGAGGTAAAATAGATATGAGAACTTCTGAAATCTTTACATGTGAAAAACAAGAAAGCATGTTGAATTTAAGATGACAATCTGGTTTCTTGCCTGGGTTATCTGGCAAAGTTTGTCTCTGTGCATCAACAAAGGTGATAAGAGGAAATGCTTCAGTCAAATTTCTTCAAAAATGTCAGTGTCTTAGAGAAACCTGATAAGCCTATCAAGAAAAGCAGCTTCCAAGTCTTTATCTCCCCAAATCTGCTTCATTTTCTTCAGAATGCCTGATATTATATAGTTAGTTATTAGTATATAGTCTGTCACCCATTCAAGTTTAAATCCAGAAAGACAGACTTTTTTCCTTCAGGACTAAATCTGTAACATTAAAAGCAGTATTGTGGGGGCACCTGAGTGGCTCAGTCATTAAGTGTCTGCCTTCGGCTCAGGTCGTGATCCCAGGGTCCTGGGATCGAGCCCTGCATCAGGCTCCCTGCTCCACAGGAAGCCTGCTTCTCCCTCTCCCACTCCCCCTGCTTGTGTTCCCTCTCTCACTGTGTCTCTCTCTGTCAAATAAATAAACAAAATCTTAAAAAAAAAATAAAAGCAGTATTGTGGCACTCAATAAAGATGTACTTATTTAATGAATAAATAAATTAGAGGAAGAGAAGGAAAAAGTTCAGGGCTGAAAGGGAATGAAGAATCCATAATGTGTGCTGGACATGCAGTTGGTATGTCTAGTAGCTGGAAAATACTGATGAGGAACTCATGAGAGAGGTTTAATTCTGATTTTGATGTAAGAGCCACCTATATTCGGGGTGATAGTTGAAATCAGGGAGATTGTTAAAACTGCCTGGGAAATCGGGAACAGATTTTTAAAAAAAAATCACTGAGATGGGGTTGAAACCAGTGTTGAAAAGACAAACAGAAGTAGAGAGGTCACAAAGGGAACCTCAGGAAGATTAACCAGGGAATTAAAAGCAGAGAACCATGATGAAGTAGTATTGCAGGGGTCAGAGTAAACAGCACTTCAAAAAAAAAACACTCTCTCCACTGTCACCATCCTTTTGCCCTTCAAACATACTACTATTGTAAATAACAAATGTAATAAAATATATATATAATGGATTGAGTTATTCAATATTCTGTCTAAAACTTTTAGAGAAGCAGTGTAGAAAAGAGATTTAAAAAAACAAGACACATGAGTTCTGGAGTTCTATTCCTGATATGACTGAGTAAGCTTCTAAGAGACCAATCCTCCCCAGATAATAACTATAAACTCTGAACAAAATATAAAAACCACTTGGAGGCCCTGGTTAGTGAACAAAGGATGCAGGTTCTGGGGCCTCAGGGAGGATGGAACCAAAAGACAACCGACAGAATGGGAGAAGATATTTGCAAATGACATATCAGATAAAGAGCTAGTATCCAAAATCTATATAGAACTTCTTAAACTCAACACCCAAAGAACAAATGATCCAATCAAGAAATGGGCAGAAGACATGAACAGACATTTTTCCAAAGAAGACATCCAAATGGCCAACAGACACATGAAAAAGTGCTCAACCTTGCTCGGCATCAGGGAAATCCAAATCAAAACCTTAATGAGATATCAGCTCACACCAGTCAGAATGGCTAAAATTAAGTCAGGAAACGACAGATGTTGGCGGGGATGCGGAGAAAGGGGAACCCTCCTACACTGTTGGTGGGAATGCAAGCTGGTGCAGCCACTCTGGAAAACAGTATGGAGGTTCCTCAAAAAGTTGAAAATAGAGCTAGCATACAATCCAGTAATTGCACTACTGGGTATTTACCCCAAAGATACAAATGTAGGAATCCAAAGGGGTACGTGCACCCCGATGTTTATAGCAGCAATGTCCACAACAGCCAAGTTGTGGAAAGAGCCAAGATGTCCATCAACCGATGAATGGATAAAGAAGAGTGGTATATATATACAATGGAATATTATGCAGCCATCAAAAGGAATGAAATCTTGCCATTTGTAACAACGTGGATGGAACTGGAGGGTGTTATGCTGACCGAAGTAAGTCAATCAGAGAAAGACATGTATCATATGACCTCACAGATATGAGGAATTCTTAATATCAGGAAACAAACTGAGGGTTGCTGGAGTGGTGGGGGTGGGAGGGATGGGGTGGCTGGGTGAGGGACATTGGGGAGGGTATGTGCTATGGGGAGCCCTGTGAATTGTGCAAGACTGTTGAATCACAGATCTGTACCTCTGAAACAAATAATACTTTATATATTAAAAAAAAAAAGATAGCAGGAGGGGAAGAATGAAGGGGGGGAATCGGAGGGGGAGACGAACCATGAGAGACTATGGACTCTGAAAAACAAACTGAGGGTTCTAGAGGGGAGGGGGGATGGGAGGATGGGTTAGCCTGGTGATGGGTATTAAAGAGGGCACGTTCTGCATGGAGCACTGGGTGTTACATGCAAACAATGAATCATGGAACACTACATCAAAAACTAATGATGTAATGTATGGTGATTAACATAACATAATAATAATAATAATAATAATAAAGACAATGGCCTGAGGACAGGCTTTAGTGATGGCACAGCATTTAGCAGCCAGAGTCCCAAACCAGCAGTCTTTTTGGCCAGATGACATCATCTTTAAAGTCCTGGGGGTGGGAGGGTGGGGGAGGAGAGCCCCGGTCAACCAGAATTCTATACCCCATGAAAATATGCTTGCTTTTATAAGAAAACTACTCGTATTTATTACAAGGAGACCTGTACTATAAGAATGCTAAAGTTCAAGTTGAAGAGAAATGATACCAAAAGAGAATGTGCATCTTCAAGAAGGAACAGCAAACATTGGAAATGGTAAATACCTAGGAAAATATAAAAGACAACTTCTTTTTGCTTTTAATTTATTTTAAACACTGACAGTTTAAAGCAAAAAATATATAACATTTCGTTGAAGAGTTCATAATGTATGTAAATGTAATGCATAAGGCAATTTCCAAAGATGGCACAGAATGAGGAAATAAATTGCAAGATTTCTACATTTTACATGATGCAGTAAAATATTAATTCCAAATAAATTGAAAACAAGGGTATATACTCTCAAAATGTATAGTACTCTACAAAAACACGAATTAGAAAGATACAAATAGATATAGTCATAAATATGTATGCACTGATAACAGCCTTAGAATAAATGAAGTAAAAAATGACAGAATTAAGGAAGAAACAAACTGTTCCATAATCATAGCTGGAGGTTTTAATACTCCTTTCCCACCAACTAGTAGAACTAGACAACCGATCAGTAAGGGAAGGGGAGAAGGGGCTATAAACAGGGAAGGAGGGAGTGCAAGTGAGTGAGCAAGGAATCTCTATAGGGTAATGGGAGCTAATCAAGCCCCATTTATGGAGGGAAACCAAACG